GTTTGCGATTGACTTCTACCTGATCTTTAACAACGTGGCCAAATTCCTCAAACAAGGAGACACCACAGAGGAGAACACAGCCCAGAGGGCAGAAGGTCAGTGACTGCCCTGAGGTTTCTGCCAGGGAACCCAGCTGAACACCTCTAGGATCACTACTGGGGCCTTGTCCTCCCTTGGGGACACTTTGCTAATCTGAACCTGACATAGGGCCAGRAAGTGTTTTTATAGCCTCATTGTCATATCCCCTCATGCAGTCACAAAACCTGTCCTACCTAGGGCCTCGGGCTTTCAAGGAGGGGCAAGCTGAACACATGCCCAGACTTTTGGCCCTACAAGGCTCCCATCATAGATGAATCCTCAGGGTAGCCAGTCATTCTCAGGACAGTTCTCCACCTGGGATCCAGAGTAACCACCTCCCTGGATCCTGCTTCCTCTGTAGTCTAGCCTGCCTCGGCCTGGGGACCAGGGACCCARTCTCTCATCCTTTTCTGCAGCTCCCAGGCAAACCAAGGAGTGTTTGGGTTTTATTCCCATGAAAAGTAGAGTAAACATTCTGGCCTATCAAGCCATCCTTGTCCAACTCAGAAAGGCCAGCATGTATATTACCTGATCTCTTAAAAAACAGAAAAAAAAAATTGCTGAAAGTTGGAAAGTTTATTGATCTGTCTGTAACAACACAGCCATACTGTTTTGCCTTTACGTGCTTACGCTCTGCACAAGGCCTGTGTTAAGGGCTCTGCACAGGTTTATCAGGAGGTGCCACAGCTAGTTTGGAACTGCAGCCTTTCCAGGGCCTGCCTCAGTCACAGTCCAGAGAGGCAGGAGGGACTGCATGGATATAAGTGCTGACCCGGAATGGAGTCCTCCTCAAGGGCTCCAAGGCCTGTTGCCCATTTCTCTGCCCTGCCCCCAGGTAGACTTGAAAAAGAGGCCACTGCAGCTCAGAGACCTTGCAACTGGGTTGATGAGATGTTTGGCTCAGCACCAACCTCACACCATCCTGGTGTCCTCTGTGCTTGCCCAGGCCTTTGTGTTACCCCTTCTTTGACCATCATGTGCTGGCATTAGGTATGCACAGATGGACATGAAAACTCAGTCCCAACAGGAGTTGAACCCCAAAGCAGAGATACACTGGACATAGCAGGGCATGTGCCATACTAGGGGTGCAAGAGGAGGTATCAGGGAAGATCTCCAAATGGGGTGCCAATTACAATAAAATGGAAGCTAACAGGTAAGAATAAAGCAACTGAGGGTGGTCCACTGTGTGCCAGCCTTATGGAGGTAACCAGAGACTTAATGGAGGAACCCTGGAAACCCTAGAGCTGGGTCTTGATGGATGTATAGTAGTGTGCAGGAAGAAGAAATGGGGCTGGTGGGAGGAGAGGAAAGCAGAGGATAGGGTGCTTGGTCTAGGTGAGACAATTCTCTGGAGCCATCAGTGCTCATAGCTGGGCAGATAGACAGGGAGCTCTCAAGGCCTATAGGCCCCACCTTGGAGTTGAGACCTTCCCACTGAGTGCCTGTTGTCCCAGGTGGGACCCATGCTTATTAGGAACCACCAGGTTCCCAACAGCTGGGCTCTAGGGCCATGGAGATCTGTGCAGCAAAAGATGAGGTTGAAGATTCTAAGAGTGCTGGGCTGGCCACAGAGGAGACAAACATCTAAAACAGCAACTGGCACTGGGGTTGGGGCAGGAGTGGGGTGTTCTCTTTTCCTGGGMTGGGGAGTTCCAGAGGGCTCTGATCTTCAGTAGTGGGATTTCAGGAACCCTGAGTCACACCTCACTGACAGGCCCTTAACATTATAAAACTGTGATCACAATATCAAACAAGGAAGGAGGAGGAAATCTGAAACTATGAAACAGCTAAAAATGGACTGCTGAGTTTTCGGTATATTTTAATTTGGGGAATAAGAAAGTAGTTATTTTTGCCTTCTCCTGCTAAATAAATTGGGGACATCCTTCTGGAGTCTTGTGAGGGTATAGAGAAGGGGCAACCAGACTTCAGTCTGGAGTGGAAGTGTCCCCATCCCCTACTCAGAGACTGCCTGGGGCTCCTGCCAGCGACCTAGCGACCTAGCTGTGCCTCTCCAGGGACTACTCCCAGGCACTACTGCCCTAGAGACTCCTCTCTGCTTTCCTTTCAGAGGAGAATTCCGACTCTGACTCCGACTGAAGGCCTGCCCATGCCAGCAACCTGAACCACACAGGACCTTCAGGCCAGCACCTGCCTGACATGCTGAGGAGCATGTCCAGGGGAAGCTATGTGTCAGGAGGAAGACTGCCCAATGGCCCTCTCCACTGCCTCAAGTTTACATTCCTGAGCCCAGCACATGAGACTGCACTCCTTGGCTTAGTGCTGTTGAACCACTCCACAAGTGAGGGCATCTTGAATATTCCACCTCTTCCCATTCCTGTCTGCATACCTTAAGCCCTTCAACCTCAATACCAAAGACAAGCACAAAGAGACGCAGCAGACAGAGCTGTGTTACTGCCTGCCACAGCAGTCAGCTCCGGCTGCAGGGCTGAGTCAGGGCGGGAGGGGGATGGCCTGTTTCAACTAACAGGCGTGAACAGAGACAGAACCACCGCAGGCCAGCCCACCAGGGCCCCGTGGCCTTTGCATGGAGTGCCCCTGCTCACGCAGCACTTTGGTAAGGAATCTTTTGTTCAAGGAGCACAAGTTCCTTCCTCATTGTGAAACAGGAAGGAAACTGACCTTGGCCTTACTGTCCAGGAGTGGATGATACCCACCCAGCACTTCACACTTGGAAACATCTTCAGGTGAGATAACTGTTCCAAGTCTAACCCTGTTTCAGACAGGAGCTCACAGATGCACAGATCAGGGCAACACAGAGGAAACCCGTTGATCCATGGCAGTGACCATGTCATGGGCAGCTGGGCAGGCCCAGCCAAACCTTTCTGGTGACAAATGTTCTCATCATCCTTCCTTCTGGATACTGGGGCAGGTCTACTGACCACCTCATGAGAGATGAGCCCTCTGTATTTGCCAAAGGATTTTTTAGCGTTATATATCTTTGATGGCATTTTGTACCTTTTTATAATTTTTTATACAAAAGCAGCTTTAACAAATGGCATTTTCTGTGAGGCAAGAGGCCTCATGAATGAGCCAAAGTTCTGACCCATGTCTTGGGCACTTATAACCTTATTCTTCTCATGCATGTGAATCTCCTAACCTGAAAAAAAGCGTTTAATGGATTAAACCAGACTGACTACCTGCTTTCAGTGTGATTGAAAAACTCTTCCACCACCCAGAGCAACAGTGTGCCATATCCTAGCATGCTTCAGCACAAACTGGTAACACACGAATGAACCCTTACAGCTATGGGTCTTAGCAACAAGGCATGCATATTCACCCGTATGCCAGGCCTAGCATAAGAATCTGGCCAGCATTTGATCCTCTTATTTCATCTCATAGTCAAGGAAATGGAGAGAAAGGGTAGGACTCTGGCCCAGGGCCCTATCACACATCAGGATAACCTCCCACAGCAGCCAGACCCTCGGCCTTTTGAACAAGGTACCTGAGTTGCAGCTGGAGGACCCTGGTGAGTGTCTGGCCCAGGCTGATGGGAAGAGGCAACTGACACACACAAAGTGTCCTGAAAATGTGATAAAAGTAGAATGGGAAGAAGCCGACAGAGGTCCCTGGTGGAGTTTCTGCTTCACCTTGCCAGTCCAGCAGAGCTGGTATCACAGAGGCCATTGCATCCTGTGGACTGGGTCTCTGTTCGACCTCCACTGAGCAAGACCATTTCAGAAGCTGGGTCCACAGCCTTTTGGGGGGCAGGGGCAGCARGGCAGAGAGAAGAGACAATAGCATTTTTATATGTTCATTTATTAAACAAGAACTCCTTCATGACAATTTAATACAATATTTATTAGCGATTAGTGTTGAGAAAATTATTTCCCTCTACATACAAAAATACAGATTTGAACAATGAAAACAATCAAGACAAAGTACCATGAAAAATTGGTCCTTCAAAAGAAAGAAAGGGGGAAGATCTAGGGTAATGTTAGGCTTTGTATGCCGTCAGGGACAAATCAACAGGAGCAAATGCTTTGGGGCCCACAAACCACATCAAATGTGTAGGAACAAACCCAAGAGCCAGTCAGAGCCACAGGAGGCTCACCCCACAGCACCCATGTCTACTTGAGAGGCCAGGATAGAACTCTGTCCCAAACAGCACAAACCAACATTTGTCCAGTGGCCATCACCTCAGAACGCCCCACAGCTGTGTCCATAAACTGCCAAAAATACTTTCCACAAGCAAAGTGGGACAATTAACATTGCCCCCCAAAAGTGCCACTAGCTGAAGTACCGATGAATGATCTGTTGGAAAGTTATTATTTAGCTTTTGACTGGACTWCCGTCATTATAGAATTACACGTTTTGAATCTTCAGAAGGACAAAAAAAATAAAGCTACAATTTCATGTTTCAGTAAATATGTACCTTCATTCTGCAATGGCTCAACTGGTTTGCTCAAGATTATCCTTGACCAGACATCCTCAGTCCTATAAGGGTGGGAAAGCAGAAGGAGCCACTATAGAGTCTGCCTGTGCCCTGGTTTCACCTGTTCCTCGCCGCAAAGCAGCTACTGCATCCAGGCCTGAAACCCCAAGAGGGCCATGAGATGCCCAGGTCATCCATGAACCTACATAAAGTCTGAGAGGAAGTGACGCCTAGAGAAGGCTACTGTGTTTCTGGGAACCAAGTGACACCCAGACTACCCTGGAAGACTCCAGGCCTTAGAACACCTTCAGGTTCCCAGGGGAACGGGACAGGGAGCCAAACACACACTTTCCACCATTTCAGACTCAATGAATGGGAAGTCAGGGCATGGGTGACCTTTTGGAAGCACTTTCCTCTTACTGTTCGAGGTGAGTGACACTTAGTCTCTTCTAACTGAGCAAAGGATTAAATAATRCCAAATGCAATTATACTGACTCATAATTGTTTCACAGAAATGTACTATTACTCTCAGACTATTTAAATAAGCAGAAACAAGATGTGGGGGACATTCAGCAGAGAAGAGACAGGAGTAGCAGGGAAATTTTTTTTGTTGTTGTTTTGGTTTTGTTTTCTTTTTTAAAATACATATTAAGTTTAAAGGAAAAGTGGCCCAAACCTCAAGACCAGCATTGTTGAAAGGAAAGCAATATTAAAAGGACACAGTCTAAAATCATACTACAAAAATAGTGTTATCTGTTTTAACTAAATGTACATCTTTTCTTCCAATTCCATGATTGACAAGAGTGCTTATGTGACACATGGAAGGCACCAAAGGTGAAGTGATTATTTATCTTAAAATATACAAAGACAGAATTAACTGCTTTGAAAAAAAAATACAGTCATACCTGTAATAAATAGTTTAGTGTTTTGCCTAAAATTTCAACATATACAAATAGTTTTAATCYCTAGCATTCTCTTAGAGGGAACCACGTCAAACTAAGTCAAGTTCCAAAAGCACTGATTTTATGCAAATAGATCAACTTCATTGTGATTTGAAAACTCATTTTTAAGAGGTCGAGAAGAGAAAGCTGGAAGCAGGCTGCCCCAGCTGGGCCTGGGTCAGTATGGGGTTGGGGGAAATCCTAGGCATCCTGTCCTTGCCCATGTCTTCCCCAGCCCAGGGACCAGGCAGTTTTCCCTTCAAGGCCTGAACATTTGCATTCCACACTTCCACAGAGAGGAGAAGGAAAGCTTGACACTTGTAATATCAATTTGGGAAAAATCGGAAAGGCAAAACAAGAGTCTGGAGAGGGAAGCAGTCATCAGTTAGGCCTGGCCTGGCCTTGGGTGGGCACCAGATCTCCCTTCACTGTCCTTAATTCCTGGTCACTCCTTGGGTGCCTTGCCTTATAAATAGGGGATACTTTCAATGGGGTGTCAGCAGCAGCATCCAAGACAACTCACACTAGATGGTTCAGATTGTTACTGAACCCCACAAATCATCAGAACCTTCTTTCACACCATTTCTTTTTTCAGGCATAATTATGAAAAGAAACTCTAGACCTTGCCCTAAATCGCATCAACAAAGATGATTAAGATAGTGCCAGACACATTCTTACCATAAGAATTAGAACCTTAAAAGTTCCAACAGCTCACCAGAGTCCAAGCAGTATTAACCCTTCACCAAAGGCTCGCCTGAGTTCAAGTCTCAGCACAGTGTGTGAACAACTAGCTCAATGAAACAAATCTGCTAAACTTCATTCTGGGCAAGCTGCCTGTTGATTCAAGCTCACTGAGCTAGTGGGTCATTCTTTTCTTTACTGTTACATTTATGGAATAAGAAAAACTAGAAAGGAAAAGAATTCCAAAGGTTGAGAAATTGTATTCAAATGGAAAAAGAATATATTCCAGACAAAAGAAGGGAAAATATAAGACTGCTGCCTCTGTTTCAAGCCAAGGTGTGTGCGAATGTTTACGGTCATGAAGAAAATTCAGTTTCAGGAAAAAATTCTTCTAGATCTAACATACTGAAGGTAACTTTTAGAGACAGTTTATAAATAAAGGAAACATAAAAGGTCAAATATTTCAAATTACTTTCTCAACCAGACAGATCTTCTGATTTTTAAGGTATCTGCTGAGAAGAAAGATTTTAGAGTCAGAAAAGTTTAAAAAGCAAAAGGGTGGCCCTCTTAGGTCTGTGTCCTTCCTGGGGTGCATCTGAGCCAGGTCAAACCCAGAGTAGATGCCAGGAGGCAAGAGCATGGAGGAATACCAGTCCCCAATGGTCAGCTCTTGTCTTCAGGCTGATTCTGAAACGCAAGATCTCACCCTTCTAAACATAAGAGCATAGGAAGGTGGTGAGCCAAAAACACATTCCTTAAGTAGCCTGAGGTATAAACACACCTGGTGCCAACAAAAGCCCCCTTTCCCTTCCTTCTCACTTCTCACCCACCCCTGTGTTGACCTCATCTGCCCACCAAGTCCCTTGCCTAGTTGGTCCTAGGAGTGGGTACTGATCAAAATCAGACAGATCAAGGAAACAGAAAGACTTGGATCCTGCAACTTCTCAAGAAACTTAAAAGGAACCTGGAGACCTCCTAGGTAACAGCTGTCCCTAGAGCCAGAAACAACTTTTCTTCTGCTCATGAAAACTGCCCAGCAGCTCTCAGCCTAGAAAGTGTGTTACCAGTTCTGCTACTGCTCCACAGACAAGGTCTAGAGAAAATGACAATCAGGTAGTGGCACAATAATTTCATGATTGCTTTGTTTTGGACACAGATGGCACAGCAGTAACCACTTAATACTAACTTGGCCACATGTCTTCATGCTCCTTTTTTTTTTTTTTTTTTCCTTTTTTGGTTAGGACAGGTCCCAAGACCTACCCACAAGAAATCTGGCACAGACAGACAYGAGACCTTGGTCAACCTCTGAAAACACATTGATAGGTAAGGGGTTTCTTCCAAATAGTGCATGCAAAACTAGGAGTAGAGGTGAGCTTGGGCCACACACAAGGGTTATCCGAGGCTCATTCACAGCAAGCAAGAATTCACATACAAGTGCAGATAAGAGTTAGGGCTTCCTCTCCTCAGAGAATGCCTGTGGCTTAACGCACGTCTGAGTCACTAGGAAAGCTTTACAGAAGGTGGATAAAACTGCAAACTTGAAGAGAGTAGGAATGTTTTCACAAGGCTCTTACCAGAATCATCTAGCCCAGGTTGGAGGCCAGATACCCTTGGCCTGTTGCAGGGGATGGTAAAGTGGACCCAGGGCCAAGCACTCAGAGTCTGGCGCCCTTGCTGATTTCCCTGTGGCTGTGCAGCCAACTGCAGCACTTCAGTGACCATTGCTAAGAAAGATGTGGGCTGGAAGTAGGGTCATTACTACCTTTTTTTTGTAGATAAAAAACAATCTCCCTTGGATGTCTCTTTGTTTTAAATCAAATTCCACTGAGAAGATTTTAATCTGTTTGCCCTTACCATAGGCCAACAAGCATTTTTAGGTTTTCATGGCAACAGTCTCTCTGTATGAAAGGAAAAAGGGGTTGCCTTCCATGTCTTCAGCAGTACAAAAAGGGGTAAAGGAATCAGAAAAGAAAAGCACCCAGCTAACAAAATCAACGTCAAAATAAACTTCCTCTGAAGATGTCAGTGTTTGCATCCATCAAAACCGCCATAGGTTCTACCAAGTGCTGTGGATTGCCACATCTCCAGGAACACATCTCCCTTCAAGTTGTACTCCAACAATGAAAGCCAATTCATCCCACCAGAAAACAGAAATCTAAGGTTGCCTTAGCCTTAAAATACCTCAAACCTAAGTGACACTGGTCTAAACTGGAACTACTAGTTGCAAAACTGCTTCTTCAATTTGCTAAGAGATCAATTTAAGACCTCCAAATCTAGATTGTCTTTTGTTTGTACACAGAGGCAACATAAGAAAAATGCAGGTTTCTTTACATTCGCAGTAGACAGCAGTATTCCCTTCATAACTTTCCCTCACCACATTATGGGTATGTGAGGAGACAGGGCTATGCACTACACCAACTAGAAAGTGTACAGGCCACTTCATGGAGAAGCCTCATGACAAATGATATTAAGTAGTTACAGGGACATAAACAGTCCAAAGATTCTGTCACTAAGATGCAAATTAACTCCAAAGTCTCTCTGGGTATAGGCATCATCACTTTTTATCATGCCTCAGCATTTCTGGTCTTGATTGGCCTCAGAACTTTTTTCAGCTGACAGTACATATTAGGAGGCAAATCAACAGTCTCCTTTCATCAGATGATAAACTGGTTTTACTGAAGTGACTTGGAAAACTTGAGCAATGATCTTGCCTGAATGGTTTTCTCTTTCAGTCTCACTTCAAAAGTAGCCTTAATAAAAGGCCAAGTAACTTGACTCCCAGCAGATATCTGATAAAGTTCAGGGTGGTCCTTCCAAGTAGGCCCAATCCAATGCAAGCCTCAGTCTTTGTGATCCTATTTTAAGTGGAATTCTCTTTTTTTAAGTGGAAGATAACCTCAGTTTTGATTATGTAGACTCACTCATCAATGCAGAACAAATATGTAAAATGAATAAATAAAATTCAGATGTCATCAGCTTCCCACACATCATTACATATCACAGGTTCAAAGTTTGTGAAGCATGCTACGTACTGACTCACAACAGGCACGGGAAGAGGGCTCCATCAGCCACACTGCACACTATACCCAGCTGTAACCAGGCCAGGCTGACCTCTGTGGGAGAAGAGGGGAGTAACCACAAGACTAGCTGGGTCATCCCCTGATGCAGACTTGTGCTTGAACATGTGATCTGGGCCACTGTCTGGACAGGAAGTGCACCAGAACTGATCTATACTGGATGTTGGGTTAGGGAGCTAACCTTTAACCTGACCACAAGGCACAGCTTGGCACCACTTCCTGTAGAGTTCTAGTCTARCAGACACCCATCCTCACTGTTGAACAGGATGCTGCTCTTTTCTGAAGAACACAATGCCACATGTGCACTGGAGGGGGCTTCCTACAAATATTCCTCTCCTTACCCCAAACATATACCACCCCTCTTCTCTCTTCTGGGTTGTCTACCTCACAAGACATTGCTAAAGCTATAAACAGTCCTCAGTATAAGATCCTGGGGTTTCTCCAGACTACTACAAAATCCTCCCACCAGTGGTACCTTTTCCTTGGTGAGGGCTAAACACAAAATATGAGAGCTTCAGTGATGTCTGTAAACATTAAACAGTTTAAAGAGTGAAAACCTGACAAACTAAAACAAATTTTTCATTAAAAGATATTAGTTTTTAACAACAACAAAACTATAACATTATAGGGTCTTATTTAACCCTCTCATTCACCACACACACACAAATCTTCACTTTTATCAAGAATCAATCAAAAACCTTAAGTAACTAGGACTTCCCCCAACAACTCCCAAGAGCTGCTATTGATAGTGATGGCGCTCAGGCCCCCAGGGCAACAATCAGTGCCTACTGAAATGTCAGTGGGAGGATGTGTCCTGGTGCAAATTCAAGTATTTTCAAATCCTGGACAAATCTACTCAGAATCACTTTAGAACTCACTTAGAAAATGAACACACACCCCTAAAACAGAGGGAAGTGTTTGTGTGTGCTAATTTGTAACACAAATGTGGTCCATGAAGGCAGCAAACAGGCAAGTGCTTTGGCTGCACTGTTTCTTTTGTGGCTTTTACCTGAGTCGGTAAAATTACAGACACCCCACAATTCATTCTCAAAGTATTTAGGGTAGACAGGAATCTGGAAAACAAGGTGGTCTCCATATTCCTGGAAAAAAATCTGGGACTCAGGAAGATGATTCATTTGAGGAAGAATCAAGTGATTTCTCAGCAGAGTAGGAAAGAAAAAGTGACTCTCCCGTGAATCAGGCAGTCCTGTGGAGCTGTCCCCCCACAGGACACCAGCTTTTCCTGTCCTGTTATGACCAGGCAGAAGATCTACCAGCACATCCATCACCAAAACCCTCAGAGTCTCCTGTGGCCTTCAGGATGTGCTAGCTGCCTGGACACCAGGTGCAGGGAAGATGAGGAGAGTGGATCCTGGTAGCCAGACTCAATCCTGCCCAGAGCACTGGTGACTGTTTTAACCCTAACCTTCATTCCTTGACATGTATTTCCCCTCTTTAGCAGCCCCATTTAACCCAAAGTCTTGACTCATCACAAATACATGACAGGATGGCTCAGAGTCAGATGGGAGCCTGCACTCTGGGACACTTAAGCCCTAGAGTAGACACAGGAGGTCAGCGCGGCCAGAGGCTCCCACAGCCACCCAACACTCGAGGACATGGGTCTTTTCAGGCCACCACACACCTGTCCACTGGGCCACTCTGGATGCCCTTTCCCAAAGTGAACTTAAGAAGACAAAATTCAACTAAATCACATGAAAGTTTGACGTGCCGAGGGAAAGAAAACTTGATTGGAAAGATGGGCATGAGGATGAGAGGAAGGAGGACTCCAGCAATCCTCACGTGTCCAGGCACTGGATCTCGGGGCGACTGTCCACATCTCTGGACTCAGTGCGGGCTCGAATGTAGTCATTGGCGCTCTGCTGGTGGATACTGACTCTCCATTTCTGCACAGCCAGGAACGTGCTCACCGCATAGGCTGCTGTGGCCAAGGAGCCAAATATCTAAAATACAAAGACACAATTCACCTCAGGCATGCAATCCAAGTGGCTTCATGGGGACCCCAGCTAGATGCAGCTCCTTCTAGCTGCACCCCATCTACAGCCCTGTGGAATGTATGGCTGTCACACCTGGTGGAGGTACTCCTCGTGTGATCCACAGAAAATCCTGCCTCAATCAAAGCCAGCCTCAGCAATTTAGCAAGGCCCTGTCTCAAAATGAAAAATAAAAAGGGCTGGGGACATAGCTCAGTGGTAAAGCATCCCTGGGTAAAGCACCCTCAGCCCTCTAGTGTCATCTTTTGTTGTTGTTGTTTACTGGGTTAAACTGCGGTACCCTCCAAATACATTTTGGACCTTTTTTAAAAATCACTTAAGTATCTCTTTTACTGTTTGTATCTTCATGCCCTTTAGTCTCAAATGTGAGAATGAAATGCAGACAAAATGTGATGAAGAGAGAATAATAAGAGTCTCACATGTAAGCCTCAAATCAAGCCACAGGGCTGAATTCCAAATCCCACCCCCAYCTGCTGCCACTCACCTAGGCAGCTCCAGATGAGACACGGTGGGGTTTTAATTACTTGGTAAGGCTTGGAGAATCTACTGCGAGGCACTGGGAGAGAAGTCTTTTAACTCTCCCCAACTACAAAAATGAAACTTGTTCTTTGTGAATCAACAGCAACACAGAAGCCTGGTGTGTGGGGAGAGAGCAGGTCCCACGCATCTCCCCACCCTCCACATCAGCCTCCACACTCAAGAAAGAATTCAAGGAGGATGAGTAGTAGGACACATGCCAGAGGACAAAGGACAGAAAGTCACAGGAGGTGTGAAGTCAGCCTGCATTTTACCAACTCAAGTTCTCTTACCATAGCAGCAATTTCTGCTCCGGTTTTGTGGTTTAAAGCAGCCAGTACAATTGAGGCAATAAAGAAAAAGAAAGTGCTGAGTCCAGTGTTGACCAAATCCTAAACAAAAAAATAAAAATAATTTGAAAAGAACAATTTGAAAATCAACTGAAGAACTTCCAAAATASGACTCACAACATGCAACCTCCAATGGCCCTGAATCTCAGCCTTGAAGACACAGAGATATTGGTCACACAAAGGAAGACAAAAATAATAGTTCACGGTTAATGGTTGCTTGGCAAACTGGCACAACAAAATCCACGTTTTAACCCACCACATCACCAATTCCTGACTTAAACAACAGCCATTATTTACTGTTTAGTGTCCTGGTATCTTTTTAATTTTTTGCAGTGCTGGGGTTAGAAATCAGAGCCTCACAAGTGCTAGACAAGAGCCCCACCACTGAGCTACACCCTCAGCCCTCCAATGTCATCTTTTGTTGTTGTTGTTGTTTAATATTTTCTTAGATGGTGCTGGACCTTTATTTTATTCATTTGTTTATATGTGGTGGAGAATCGAACCCAGTGCCTCACACATGCTGGGCAAGAACTCTACCACTGAGCCACAACCCCAGCCTCTYTRGTGTCATCTTTTTAAAAAGATGCTCACACAATGGTCTTAGTGTGGACMAAGCATCCTAAGGGTCCAAATGTACTGAGACTGATGCAGTCCCCAGCATTCCTCGCCTCCATATGTAAGGTTTAAAGCACATTATTTTCAGACATTGCGAACACATGTTCTTACCTAGATTTTCAAACCTCTATGTCACTAAAGTCACTGCAGAATTTTCTCCTAAACCTCTTGCAAAGCAAATGAAGTTACTTACCTAGTGTTTCACAGACTTAACTTCTGTCTTATTTATGAAAAGACTATAACACACTGATTAAGAGCCATAGCCAGCAGCCAGGCTCAGTGGCGCATGCCTGTAATCCCAGCAGCTTGGGAGGCTAAGGCAGGAGGATGGTGAGTTCAAAGACAGCTTTAGCAAAAAGCGAGGTGCTAAGCAACTCAGAGACCCTGTCTCTAAATAAAATACAAAATAGATCTGGGGGTGTGGCTCAGTGGTTGAGTGCCCCTGAGTTCAATCCCTGGTACCAAAAAAAAAAAAAAAAGAGTCATAGCCAGCCTAGGGTCTAACTAATACTATGACTTCAGATGAACTGCTGTGTTCCTATGTATCTTATGTGGAATAGCAGCCCCTTCACCCCAGAGCTGTTCTGGAAGACAAGCAGTACTATGTAGGTGACAAGCCAAACACAACACCTGGCCACAGTTGGATCCTCTACACTGGTACTTCTGTTATTGCTTTGGCACTAGACCCCAATAGCCTGGGTCATACTATATGGCCTCTATGAACTATAAAAGGGATGAAAATTCAGGAAAAAGACCAAACTGCTTAAGTGCTGGTTGACTATACCATCAACACCTGGTGGTTCATCCAGTCTGGCCTGACTTCAAGATTGACTTGCTCTTTTTAAAGATGYAAAGAGACAAGTTTCAATTTAATAGTACTGAGTCTGGGTAGTAGAAACCACCTGGAGTTCTGCCACGCTTCTTCATGGGCTAGGGCAAAACTGTAATGTAGGGACTGTGAGGCTTTCTTCAAAAACACCTGCCAGCAGGACAGGGTTCAGATGTGATCTGTGAAGCCAGGGAAATTTCTCACAAATTCAAGCCAGAAAGTATCTAGAAATACTTGGCTCTGGGATAAGATACTATTGGGGTGAAAAATATAAAACATACTTCCCAAAGCAAAGATTATTCAGAAAAGGAAACATATTTTATGATATAATGTTGGAAGTCAAGCATCAAGCAAAATTGTGACTATGTAAAAATACAGATATGATAAAAAGGGCTAAGAAATTTTTAAAAAATTTAGTTGTGATGAACACAATACCTTTATTTAATTTATTTATTTTGCTGTGATGCTGAGGATCAAACCTAGGCCTCATACTTGCAAGGCAAAGGTTCTGCCACTGAGCCAAAATCCCAGCCCAGGGTTAGGAAATTTAAGGGGAAAAATTTTAAAATTGTAGGAGTACCAGTGATTTTAAACTTGTTTTAGCAACGACAATCAACATTAAATGAAGACTGAAAAGATAAATATGATCAGAGAATATAGTAAAAAAATTTAAAAAGATGTTTTACAAAGACAAGATAATATCCTACTATGATCCCCCACAAGGTTATTCAGCCAATAAGATGAAACAAGGGGGAAAACACAAGCAACTGCTAACATGAGCACGTCGGCCTTCAAATTCCACTGAACTAACCCATTTTTGAGGCTGAAGCCCTCCCCTCAATAATGAACCTGCATATTACTGTGCTTCTAGAGCTGTGCTGTCTCAAACACATGTGGCTACTGGACATTAAACCCACTGAACTACATAAAATAAGAAGTTCCATGTTTCAATCACATTAGCCCGCTACAAGTACTCAGTAGCCACCTGCAGCTCATGGCTGCACACAGAGCAGTACAGATCAGAAAACATTTCCACTGTTGGAGAAGCTTGTTGGCCAGAGTTGCCCCAGAGCCAATAACCAGGTCACACACAAGACAGGGACAGAGGAACAAGTAAAGCCTCACCACCAGGGCGCTTGCAGCTAACTCCAGACTGTAAAACGCTTCACAGGATAGACAAATGACCCAGTGTTTCTAACAAATCAATAAAATAAAAGGAATGAATGGAAGGGGGTTATTTGTGTGAACCTCGTGTAGACTGTGACCTGAATAAGACAAATGTAAAAAGATATTTTGAGACCAAGGGGAAATTAGAGTATGAACTGAATATTAATTAATATTAAAGAATTGCTAATTTTATTGATATAACAATCATATAATGCTATCTTTTAAAAAGAAAGATAGTGAAGAAACAAAGGATTTTGCTAACTAATGAAAAAAATCATTTTAAAAATTTGTATTTTTATTTAACACTATAAACCAAAATAAAACAAAAAAAATAAAAATTATATGAATAAAGCAAAACCACAAAGTCCCATGTGTATGTTTAAAAACCCTTCACAAAAAATACTTTTTAAGCTTTACACCAAATATAAGACATCCAATAAAATCTTGATAAATAGTAAACCTTTAATAAACATTTGATAAAATGACCAATATTCTTAAGAAAATGTAACAAAATAAGGAAAGGCCATGAATAAGCAAATTTTTTTTTTCCTTTGATACTGGGGATTGAACTCAGAGGCACTCAACCACTGAGCCACATCGCATGCCCTATTTTGTATTTTATTTAGAGACAGGGTCTCACTGAGTTGCTTATAGCCTTACTGTTGCAGAGGCTGTCTTTGAACTTGCGATCCTCCTGCCTCAGCTTCCCGAGCCACTAGGATTAAAGGCATGCACCACCATGCCTGGCTATAAATAAGCAATTTTTTAAAAGTATAAATGGGGCTGGGGTTGTAACTCAGTGGTAGAGTGCTTGCCTTGCACGTGTGAGGCCCTGGGTTTAATCCTCAGCACCATATAAAAATAAATAAATAAAAATAAAGATATTTTTTAAAATACAATGGAACTTTAAAAATGAATAAAACTTTTTAAAGTATAAATGGCCAATAAGGAAGAAAAATGTTCAAATTTACTTGTAAGCAAAGAAGTGAAAATTAACTTGGCAATTGCATGCTACTTTTCTGGAAAAGACTACAACTCTGTATATGTATGTATGTATGTATGTATGTGAGAGAGACAGAAAGTCAGACACTGACACACAGACCAGCCAGCAGGGCTCACATGACATAACTTTCAGGAAAACTATTTGCTAATAGGCATACAAGATTTTGAACAGGTTCATATTGTCTACTTATAAATTCCACACTTGGAAATTCACCTTAAGTACTAATAGAAAGTGCTAATATACCAAAGGTCTAAGTATAAGGACGTCCTTTGTGACATTATTTAAAGAAGTAAAAAACCGAAAGCAGGAGCTGGGGCTGTGTCTCAGCAGAAGCGCACTTGCCCATGTGTGAGACACTGGGTTCGATTCTCAGCACTGCATAAATATAAATAAAGRTCTATCAACAACTAAAAAACTATTTAAAAAAATAAAAGCAAACAAAATGCTCAAGAATAGGGTATTTTACTAAATAAAATGGAATTTCCATAATAACACCATGCAGTCATTAAAAATAATGATGTAGCTTGTTATAGTTTGGATACGAGATATCCTCCCAAAGCTCTCTATTAATGAGGAAGTAAAATGATTAGATTAAGAGAGCAGTGACCTCTGATTAGGTCAGTGATTAGAACAGTGATTAATCCAGTGGATTAATCTATTTGATGAATTAATAATTTGAAAGAAGTAACTGGGTGGTAACTATAGGCAGGTGGTACATGGTTTGTGCCCTGTAAGTATTCATCTTCCCTGAAGCCCCTTCTCTCTCTCTCTCTCTCTCTCTCTCTCTCTCTCTCTCTCTCTCTCCTCCCTGACTTTGCCATGAGCTAAGCAGCTTTACTCCACTGAGCTCTTTAGATTACTGGTATCACATACACTGACAAAATGGAATTAGGGGCATAAAGTCTAAATAAGAATGGCATAGTTCATCAATAACACTTGAGAAAAGATATTCTCATACTGGCAGCAGCCCTACTGGTTTGAGAGCTTACTACATGCCTTTATTCCCATTTTCTTCATTTTATATTTAAAACAATCCTGCAAGGAAAATATTATCTCCATTTAACCAATAGTGAGGCTTCACTAATAGAAGGCTCATGTGATTTACCCAGGTTCATGCACAGCCCTTAAGAACAACCCTGGACTTGATCTGACCAGGTCTATTGGCTTAAAACCTCTGATCTTAACCTTCCCAGAAGCTACTTCTTTGTCAAACAGGTCTTTTTATAGGCTGTTGAATGCTCTATAGCCCAGCCTGCCCTCAGAAAGCACCTACTGAGAGGACCTTGGAAACAACAGGCAACTGGGATACCAGMAAACAGGATGAACACCTTGACCTTGTCCCCAGAGTATGCATTAGTTGGGAAGGTTGCAAGGCTCACTTAAGCTATCTGTCTACTACACTATTGGCTGAGGTCACACCTCAAGCATTTTTTAAAAATATTTTTTAGATGTTAATGAAACKTTAGTTTATTCATTTATTTATATGTGGTGCTGAGTATCAACCCAGTGCCTCATACATGTTAGGCAAGCGTTCTACCACTGAGTCACAACCCCAGCCCCCTAAGCATTTTCTTACATATAACACAAACTTCATCTAAAAAACAGTTGAAATGTTTAAACTTCTCACAAAAACTTACAAAGTGCTTCCAGTTATCTTTTGGTTTTAGAACAAAGTTAAATGTAAAGAACCATCACATTTTCCTTAGCTTTCAGTGCTAAGACAAAACTTGTAGAGTTTTCAACTGACATTAACTTTTCMAAATCAGTAACTCTCCTTTCATTTTTCTCCCCAAAACAGTTTGTGGGAGCATTCTGTCAGGAAGATCTTCCTATCTGTACACCCAGGGACACCATGCTAGCAGCCCTGCCAGGCAGAGCGACAGCTCAGGCTTCCTCCCACAGTGTTGCCCCCCACTCTGCATGGAGCACCAGCCAAAGAAAGAAAGAGGTGCTCTGCAGTGCTCTCCTCATACCCCCAGCAGCTGTGAGTCCACAGGCTTCTCTCACAAGCACAGAAGTGTGAGGTGGCTGGTTGTACTTCTGAGTTTCTCCCTGATTCCCCCTGAGCTCTTGAACACGCTTGTTTACAAAGAAATATTAAGAAAACCAAATTATATTAAAATTCCTTCTTGTTCAAGAACAAATAAGGACAACTAACACAKTTTAGAAGAGATAGCCTGGGACTGGCCAGCCCTCAGCTTCCCATGCCATCTGACAGGGCTGTCCAAACAGGACTGAGAATTCAAAGTATGGAGACGAGTGGACATGTATCCACTCAAGATTTTCTGATCAAATCACCCAAACCTTCAGTCCTCCTAGTTACTTTGAGTTTAATAATATTCCTAGGCTTTACACAATATTGACATTTTCAATTCTTCCAGAATCAATATTTTTATAAATGGCTTTTGTGTATAGTCTGAAAAATATGCAAATGTATTAATTCCATTTCTTTCCCATATTCTGCAAATACCAGTATAACTAGTCTTCTAAGGTGATCATAAAATAGAAATGACATCTTTAAAAGGACCAACATAATTTTGTTATGTTTCTGCCATTAGTTAAGATTCAATTTATTTATTTTTTCACTCAATGCAGTAAAGAAATATAAAATTTCACAGCTGAGTTATAAAGGAATGTTAAAATATCAAAATAAACTAGAACCAAACATGTCATGGAGAGATTCCAACTTTCCCTTGGAGCCAAGCAGCATTTGATCCTTTCACAGAAAGAATGGTAACTTCTACTCACTGTCAGGTTCCAGTTGATCTGGGGGATCCTCATGTGAAGGTTGAGACTGAACAGAATCAGCAAGACTCCAGTCACCACAAATGCACTACAGCTTACAAACTCAAAAAAGTAGAGGCCTTCACATGGGGAGCACTCCATGATGGTCTCGATGCAGATGAATGCAATCAGGGCCAAAATCTAGGAAGAAAATTGGAAACATACATGCATGTATATATTTAGTACACATCTGTGAACATACATGCCCATCATATTTATGCTCAGCTGCAGTTTTCCTCTGGGGACAGCAGTATAACTGTCAGAAATATGAATTACTTCAGTTTCTACTTAGGTAGAAACAGGTAGAGGGGCCTGAATGAAAGGTTGGAATTCCTAATGTAAACAGCGAAGGCTCTACCACTACACCAAAACCAGTCCTGGGAGGAATGCCCGCCCCGTGTGAGTCACTGGCCCTGGGGAGGAAGGAGGAAGTAGAAAAGAACACCTCTGTGACATTTTAGTTCATCCTTTGCCATCATAATTTCAAGTTGCTTGTTTCCAATTTATGGTCTCTACCACAGTTATGCCAGACATGGAGAGGATGGAATCTTATGCTATCTGCAACTACTTTGGTGATTCATGTTGGGGTCACATAAGCTAACTAATGATTGGTACAATCTCCGCTTTCCTCAAGTAGAAGCCCCTGAAAGAAGAGGCCCCCTAATTAACCCATATGCTTGTGAAAGTGTTATCACTGGACTATATTACAAGAAGATAGAGTGTCAGCTTATTAAAAATTTAAAAATCTGCCGTTAACAGAAATAATTTCTTTCTGAAGGACCAAAGTAACATTATAAGCAGTATGTCTCACGAATGTAAAAATCATAAAGTCAAACAGATAAAAATGGAAATTACCAAGTGAACTTTTAAAGGTAGAGTTCAGGAGAAGAGGTGGCCCAGGGTTAAGCTGTTGGTCCTAAGATCAAGGGAGGTCAAGTAGTCTTGAGCAATGAACAGCGGTTCAGCCTTGGGCTCCTGGCCTCACCTCTGTTCCCCAGTGTCTCACAGCCCACCCCATGTCAAGCCCACACTACCATGTCCAGGCCAATCCCCACCCTGCAGCTCAAGGCAGAAAAAGCAGGAAGGCAGATGTAGGCAGCCCTGACATCCTCCAGAGACATGTCCTCCAGGGCCAGCCTCCCAGCATCCCAGGAGCCTTGTGAGCAATGGGGAAACTCTGCCTCCCTTCCTTGTCCCATGGAGTCAGAATCTGCTTCCTGACAAGATCCCCAGATTAATTGTGAAAAGCAGCCAAGACACAGGCTGTTCTGGGGCTCTTCCCTGCCTACTCAAGTCCTACTCACACATACCAATGCTCCATTCTCAGTGCCACCTCCTCCTCATGCTGTCCCTGAATTTCTCCCTGCCACATGTCATTTTATTCTACCCTGTCCCAAGAAAGCATTTTACTCTTACCCCATGCATCTCTCTGCACCGAGTGTTCGGTATGCAGGCCACCTCTGTCCCTTCCTAAGGCACCAAGCACAGTAACTTGCAGAGTTGGCAAATGTGGGCACAATGACTTGCAAAGCCCCACACCTTCCTGTCAGGGTCTCTGTGTAAAAGGAAAACTGTTTCTGCTATTACCATCAGGGACACTTCCATGCTAATCTTATGTGGTCTTCTTACCTTTCTAGTCCAAGTTAACATATTAAAGATGCAGATCTTGTTGATCAAAGGATACAAGATTTCAGTTTGCAAGGAATAGTTTAAGAGATTTATTGTGCAATATAAGGGTTACAGTTTTTATAACAATGGATTTATTTTGAAAATTATTGAGAGAGTAGAGCTTAAGTCCACTGGAAAAAAAAAATAACTGAGGTGATGCTCATGTTCATTAGCTTGGCTGGACCATTCTACAATGTATACGTATTTCACATCATATTGTACACAATTAATATGTACAATTTTTAGTCATCCATTAGAAAATGAAAGACAAGACAGGGATCTCTAAGTACACGCTTTGTACTTTWCCTAATGACTCTCTTTATAATTTTCCACAGGACCACAGCCTTTAATTCTCCATCTGAATTACATGCTTAACTTGCAATCAATACACAAAAGAAACAGTTCATATAAGGCAAACTCCTAAACATCCTTTTTTTTTTTTTTTCCACCCCTGTAATCGGATCTACTAATCTTGGGCAAGAAATAACACACTGTACTGATGAGTTACAAATGTTTCTGGTATGTTAACTTCAACCATATTTGTGTGGAAAGGTAACACCTAAATTCTTAAATATTAAAAAAATGGCTTCAAGAAAATGCAAATCCAATAGGCTGTTCGTTGTAATAGTGAACATAACAAACTATCCCTGCTCAACAGCTCATAATTTAAGTGTTTTAATTAAATAAAAAATAAAGTAAGTTAGACAATGATAAGAACAAAGGAGAAAAAGCAGGGAAGGCAAGTGAAGTGTAACTGGGGCCAGGGTGTGAAAACTGTGGACTGTGGACCCTAGAAGGCCCAGCTGAGAAAGAACTACAGGAAGGCAGTAAGGTCCTGGCTTGCAGGAGGGAAGATCAGATACACAGAGCCCAGAGACATGGGCAGACCTGGATGTGATAGCCTACTGTGCTCTGAGTGTGAGGAAAGAACTAGAGAGAGGCACAATCTGATTTGGATCTTAAAAGGGCCACCAGCTCAACAGACCAGAGGCAGGAGGTTAGGGCAGAGACTAGAGAAGAGCTGGAAGGCCTCTGCAACACCCTGGAGAGAAGATGGTGGTATGGATCAGGGTGGTATCTGAAGGTGATCAGCCCAGATGGTGAGAAGTGTTGAATTCTGGGTGTATGTTGAAGGCAGAGCCACAGGATCTGTGCTGACACATGATGGGATGTGAGAGGAAGAGGAAGGCAAGCACATTTCTAAGGTTCCTACTTGAGCAACCAGAAGAATGGCATTGCTGCACAGGGATAGGGAAGCCTGCAGGGGAGCAGGTTTGGGGAGGAGTTCAGTTTGGGACATGCTAACACTGTAACAGCTATCAGGCTTCAAGCGGAGCTGATTATTAGATATGTGAACCTTGAGTTCTGGGGAAAGACTGGAATGGAGATGCAATTGGGAATTGGGGGACAGGATGGAACGACCACCCAGAGTGTGAGTACAGACAGAAAAGAGGGCTAAATGCTAAGCATGTGATACTCCAACATGTTCATGACAGAAATAGCCACACAGCCTAAATTTTAATTTGAGTTTGCTAGCTACCAACTGGGTGTGGCAGCCAGTCCCTCCAAGATGGCCCCAACAAGGAGTCTTCTTAGTAGTCTCATCCCTGTGACACAATGAAGAAGGCTGACCCTCTTGCAGAAAGAACTTCACAGGTTAGGCCTGAAAACTCAAGTGTGAATTCTTCCTTCCTCTCTGTCTCTCTGGGATCACTTACTCTGGGGAAAATGAGCTGTCATGGTCATGAAGATACTCAGGTAGCCTTAGGGAAAAATCTAAGTGCCAAAGAACCAACAGCCAACAGCTATGTGAATGAGGGGTCTTAGAAGCAGGTCCTCCTGTCCCAAGTGGGCGGGCCTTAGGTGATACCATCCCAGACAACAGCCAGACTGCAACCACAAGAGAACCAGAGCAAAGCCACTCTGGGATTCCTGACCCGCAGAAACTGAAGGATAATAAAGTTCTGTGGTTTTAAGCCACTAAGTTAACAGTAATGGATAATATATTAGGGAGGGAACCTCAATAATATTGTAATCACTAATATCAATAAAAATTAACTACCAGTACTGGTTACCTACAATTTCTCACTCTTTACCATTCAGTCCCTGACACAAACCTATGAGGTAACATTAGTCCCATTTTATAGACAAGGAAACAGAGGTCCTATGAGATAGATAGCAAGAAGGAATGCCAGTATTTCACAGCCAAGATTTGATCCTCATCCTCTCTAGTTTTTATTGCCTTACTATGCTATTCTTCTTATCAATTCCTCATCCCCATAGCTGTCTTCTTTGCTTATCTCAAATGGACATTATGTTCAAAATCAAAATATACAAGTGAGAACTCAAACAGTAACATGCTGTATAAAAAATAAGGAAATAAATGGTGTATTAAGAATTRTAATGCAAAAATAAATAAATAAATTTTAAAAATAAGGAAATAAAATTATAACCTATACATACAGTTTTTAAATCAGAAAACATGTATTATACATCTTGTTTTCTAGCCTTTTTCTTTTACATAGTATCTGCAGGCATTTCCTTATAAGAAGAAACATACATGTTATTTTTTTGACTACATAGGATATATAAATACATAATCTATAATTTCATCAATACCCTGTTGATAGGTGTTTAGGTGGTTTCCAATACTCAGCCATTATCACCAGTACAGTCTTTTTTGGAGGGGAGAAGGTACCAGGGATTGAACTCAGGGGCACTTGACCACTGAGCCACATTCCCATCCCTATTTTGTATTATTTAGAGACAAGGTCTCACTCAGTTGTTTAGTGCCTCACTTTTGCTGAGGCTGGCTTTGAATTCATGATCCTCCTGGCTCAGTTCCCTAAGCTGCTGGGATTACAGGTGTGCACAACCACACTAGGCCCAGTATATATATATATATATATATATTTTTTTTTTTTGCCTGATATTTAGTACAGCAAAATATCAAAACATCTTCCAGCACTGTGAAATCTAATAATCACTGGTGAATTAAGCCCACCTATTGCCTGATAAGGACTCAGACCAAGTCAGATTGGAAGCCAATAACTTGTAGCAACAGAGGAATCAAAAGTAACCTATCTTCTAAAAACTTTGCAGTGGACAAATATCAAGTATAAAAATATATATAAAGACATTAATGTGAAAGCTAAGGTATTGCTAATCAGAGAGCCTTTCTGTGTAGTTCTTACCAGCTGATCTAGAGTATTTTCGTAGCTGGTAAGTAAATTGGCATTATAAGATTGTCAAATTTACCTAACTGTGGCTAATTAAGGTTGGCAACATCAAAAAGGAAGAGAGGAGGACAAGGGGAGGGCTGTCTTACAACACTTTGTAAATGCTCATAAAGTCCAAAGTTAAACTGCTAAGTCCTTTCTGGAGGCTGTGACGTGAACAGGACTGTTCACCAACACATCCGAGTCTCCTCTATCCAGGCACATGGAGGTGCTGCAGAATTTTCCAGAGGCAGA